ATCCTGAGATTTACAAGAAGACCCTCCAAATTAAGACGTTCTGCCCGGAAGAGATGCGAGGGGTTTGGTGGCTAGAGGATAATGTTGCGCACGAGACCCTGGTGATCTTCAACGATGCAAAGTGGCAGCAGTCGGAAGACAATCCTGCAATTTGGGAGTTTTTTCATGACCTGCCGCAAACTTGGTTTCGTGACCCCACACTCTTTGGGTACATCCTTGGCATAGCAGCTGCCTGGACAATGAACGACTCAAAGTGGCCGGAGCAATGGCAAAGCTTCGTGCCAATAGTGTTCAACTTCGACAAAGGCAAGGCCCACCTCAAGAAAGATGAGTGGATCTTCAGGACACGGGTCTTGTTGCACGTTGTATTGTAGCAGTTCGAGCATGCATATTACGGGCAAGCTATGTTTGGTGCACTAGTTTGGCGCAATCCAAATTCAGAATAACCCCCCATCTAGAATAGCTGTCTAAGCCAAATCCATAACAAAACCCAGTTTTTCAAACCCTTAGCCCTTAACACCACACACCTGTACCAGGATCAACGAGGACGAGTGGCAAAAGGCGGCCTTCAAAGTTCTCCCAGATGGCACAGTTACGGACGAGGTCACCTATATGTACCGCTGGCGGAGGGTGGGGGGTCCACAAACAAACCCGGCCCCGAAGCCTAGTGGAAGGAAGGAGTTCATCCCCCGTACGATCCAAAGCCTGATGCAATGCGCTCGACACGTCGACCCATGCACCGGCGAGGTGATGCGCGGAGATGGCTCATTGACTTCGGCATGGGCCGATATGAGCCTTGCAGACAAGAGATAGGTTGTGATTTAGAGGAGGGGGTGAGGAGAGGGCAGGATGTTCAGGTTTTGGGTTAGGTGATTTACGGTTTAGAGCGCTGTTGTCGCGCTCACAGGGTTGTGCCAGGGGTTTGGAGGGTGTAGTAGGATCTACCGGGTTCATGAGAGTGCTTCTCTTGGCAGGTTGTGCAGGTGGAGAGGCCTGAACCCGTTCGTGGGTGTCACCACCAGTAATGTTCTAGAAGGGTACAGTCATGACCTTTGCCTTCAGTGTCCTGCAAATACGATGCGCCGCGCAACTCAGGAACTCAAAACCGTATGTATGTATGTATGTATGTATGTATGTATGTATGACCTCAAGAGTGTATGAGTATATATGTGTGTGTGTGGGTATGTGTACGTGTATGTGTACATGTCTGTATATGTGCATGTGTAGATGTATGCATGTATGCAAGCACGGTTGCATGTGTGCATGTGTCCATGTGAGTGTGCATGCATGAACGTATGTAGATATGCAGTGTAGGTGGGCAGGTATGCAAATAAGCATGCATGGACCGTGTGCATGTATGCATGTATGTATGCATGCAGGTATGCATTCATGCATGTATGCATGTTTGTATTTATAATGAAACTAAACATGTCCACACACACTTATTTACTTTGTACCTAGTTGTGCCATTCGTTGATTGTTTTGTGTAAGTACGAACAACTTGGTTGGTATCAAGCCAAGGGAGGCTATGATGAAGCGGCCCTACAGGAGCCGGGGTTACGAACTTGTGATTGGGAGGGGAGGTTCTTGTCGAGCTACATACAAGAAAGATCCTACAACTGGTAGCTTGTATTGCGATTGGGGGGGAGCGGTCATCTGCGATTAGGGCTCTTCGAAATAGGGGTCCCAGCACTTAGGTGTTGTGTTGGGGTCGTTCAGTTTCTGAAACTCCATCCGGGATCTGATGGTCCGGGACTTGAGCTCACACACGTCGCAGTTCGTGACGCCTCCTGTCTTGCTTGAAAGCGAAATGGCCCAGCTCAGAACCTTAAGGGTTTGGGGTGTTTAGGTTTCAAGAGGGGTGCTGGCATTGAACAAGCCCCGGTGTAAGCGCGATTGAACCCTGAACTTCCCGAAGCCCACAAGAGACGATATTCGCCAGACCCCGTCATCATACTCCAACACCCAGAACCATGTGCCAATTGTTCTACACATAGTATGCTCCAATGGAAGCGCAAGCGGTTTTGAGTCAATGACTCTAGCTGACCTAAAACTTCTTGATGTGTTGATTAAGGTCTTCTTTCCATCAACGGGTCTTGTCCTGCACAGGAACTTTTTCGATCCTTGGTGCCCTTGCTGGCCGCTTTGTATTCCTGTGGCGGACAGGAACATTGAGATGGCGAAGTCCGGGGGTATTCAGGCTCGGGTGTCAGAAGGTCGTTCAGGATCGAGAAAGCCATACACACTTAACCCTAAACCCAAGGCCCCAAACCATAAAAGCCCGAACAGACGCTCAACCATAGAACCTCGGCTGAAATTTGGCAGTTGAAGACAATCGGGGACCTTCATGTAGAACCCCAAATGCTAGGACCGAAAAAAGGTGCCCATGGCCCCTAATTTTTAGAACCTTAAACCCTAAAGCCCTAAATCCGAAACCCTAATCCAGTAAATCCTAAACCCTTAAACCCCTAAACCCCCAAACCCGTAATCCTCTAAACCCTAAACCTTTTCAGTTCAGGTGGGCATCTTCCGACC